ATAGCTAGTTTTGCGAGAACAGAAAGCCCTGGCGTGGCTGCAGTGTCTCTGCCGGTGCCTGCCATGCTGGCGCTGCGCTCCAGCTCACACGTGCCGGAAGTGCCTGTGAGAGAGGCTCGGGTCGACTTCCGGTCCTGTGGGAGAGGCTCGGGTCGACTTCCGGTCCTGTGGGAGAGGCTCGGGTCGACTTCCGGTCCTGAGAAACACAGCAATAATATTTAATGCTGGCGTTCTAGGGAGAGTGAAGAGGCACAGTATGTTCTGAGTAAAAAAGCTTAGAGCAAGTGATACGAACAGGGGAGTAAACAGTTGAGTTCCTTGACGTAGAATTTGGTAACAGCGACACGACTCTGGCTGTAAGCTGTGAGACTGGGACCCGAAAGAGCGTGAGTCGAAGAAAATGGCTTTAGAGTCAAGCCTGGGTTTGGATTCCTGCTCCTGCTACTTGCTAGCGGTGGTTTGGGCAAGTTACTTAGCCCTTCTGAGCCTCAGTTTCTGTTCTCTGTGACATGAGGTCAGTAACACTGGAATGCTGAAGTGTTGAGTTCATCAAGTAACAACGAAGGCCTGCTAGATCTTCTGGGAGACCCTCCACGCAGAGCAGCCTTAGGAGACCAAGGGGGCCCCTGTCCTGTGCCTGAGGATACAGAAATCTTGGTGGTTCTCTTAGGTTGGTGGTGGTGGTCTTAACCTTGTGAAGAGGTCGGCATTCAGTTGGTTACCCAAGTGGGGAACTTCAGCTCCATTCATAAGTGTCTCTGTTCCTGTTTTATGTCCGTCTTCTGTCCTTTGATTCCACCTGTGTGTGCCCGTCGATGCGGAGTCCTCCCCCCGCCGGCTTTCATCCATGCCTGACTCAAAACAGGGCCTCTTGCAGTATCTATTCAATCCCGGGCTCTCCCGGTTGAAAACACCCACATCACCCTCTGCTGAGTGCTTCTTGGCTTCGCGTGGTGCGTGAGCAAATTCCAGCACCCTTAGAGCGGCGCAACATGATGTCCTTCGCTACCTAAGTCCTCCTGTTCTCTGGAGGCTCGCCCCTCAGCTCCCACCATTCCCCGAGTGCTCCAGCCCCTCTGGACAGTGTGATTCCTGAACCTCCATGCACTTCTGCATGCTCACTCGGTCGTGTCTGACTCTGCAGTGCCGTGGACTGTAGCCTGCCAGGCTCCTCTGCCCGTGGAATTTTCCAGGCAAGAATGCTGAGGTGGGTTGCCATTTCCTACTCCGGGGAATCTTCCTGAACCAGGGATCGAACCCATGTCTCCTGCACTGGCAGGCAGATCCATTACCACTTGCTTCTGGCCTTCCCTTGACTCCTGCTGTCCCTCCAGTCTAAGGACATACCCTCCCTTTTCCCCACTCGAGGAACTCCTGCTCATCCTTAAGTACCCCGGTTCCCAGGCAAAATTAACCACTTTCTATAGCACATCATGCTTGCTTCTGTTGAAGTCAGTAGCAAGGCAAGTTTTTACTCTCTCTCCTGGTGTCTTGGTACAAGGAGAGGCAGGCCGTGTAAGGTTCTTGAGGGCAGAGACTTAAGTCAGAGTCATCCTTGTATCCCTGATTTCCAGCCCAGTTTCAGACATGTTCTGTTACAGCATCTATACATATCAATTAAATTAATCAGATAGAACATTTTCATTATCAAGAGAATAGCCATGTGTCTGTAGGCTGAGTAATATTTAAAGCTCACTTTATTTCTAGGTGTTCACAATACAGGAACTTATATGCTGCAGAGACAGTGTGACTAGGACAGACACTCCAAGGTGATACAGCACACAGATGGTACGCTTGTCAGAGGATGGTAAATAATTTCAGTCTCCCTATAAAATAGTATGTGCTGTATTTGGAGTAAATGTTTTGAGTCTTTAAAAGCAATTATATAGCAGAGTAGATTAAATAATGCTGAGTGAACAAGAGAAGCTGATCAAGATGTTAATGCAATGATCTGCCAGGAAAATAGGTACTTGACACCCAAGCACCCTTAACAAGGGCAAAAACAGCAGTTTTCCGTGGAAGAACCTTACTTAACAAGTCTTTCAGACAATGCAACAGCCAGTTCTGCAGAATCGATTTAAGTAGCTAGACCTGAGCCTTGTCCTCAGTGTTCCTGGCTTCAGCCCTGTGCCCAGGTATCAGCCCACAGGACCCACCTGCCTTCAGTAGAGCCCCATGGCCGGTAAATGCAGATGAAATTCCATTTTCTTCCAGAATGTTTGGGTCAGCTGCCCTTGCTCAGAGGTTAGCACTGCTAACCTGAATATTGGGGGTATAGAGATGGGAGAGTCTGCCTCCAAGCCTGTACAGGCAACCCCGAAGGTCATAGATGGCATAGGAAAGGGAGATAACAGCTATGTAGACATTCTTTAAACAACTTTGAAGTTATTATGGTCCATGCCCACTGTAGAAATTTTTTTAAATTGGTCTTTACAAGGATGGTAAAGGATAAAGTTTTTAATTATTTTAAATTTTAAAAAATATTTTTAATTTTAAAATCATTTTTAATTATTGACACTTTGGTTTATTTCTTTCCAGTCTCTTCTTTATTTTTCCTCCCAGTTAGGTTGCCCTCCGAGATTGGAAAACGTCCCCCAGACCCGCCAGTGAGAGGGTTCCCTGGTGTCTGGGAACTTCCTCTATTACGACTCCCTTCCTGGGACGGGTCTCCGTCCCCAGGTCTTTGTCTGTCTTTTTATCTTTTATATATTCTGTCCTGTCTCCTTTCGAAGACGATGGGCTGCTTTTCTGGGCACCTGATGTCCTCAGCTAGCAATCAGAAGTTGTTCTGTGAAGTTTGCTCAGCGTTCAAGTGTTCTTTCGATGAATTTGTAGGGGATAAAGTGGTCTCCCCGTCCTATTCCTCCGCCATCTTAGCTCCTCTCCAGTCTCTTTTCTTTGCACATAATTATTTTTAGCAGGGTTGAGGTCACACTGAATATTCAGTTTTTATAAGCATTTTGTTCTTAAACATATTTTCTATAAACATATGTAAAATGTGGACAAAGTAGCAAAAGGAGTTTCATTCAAATCCTAATCAGTCAGTGAGTATTTACAAATTTTACTAAAACTTCCAAACTAAATCCAGGATAATACCTCACACAGGTTGCTTGGCAATGCAGTGACATAGATATAGTTGCATTGCTGCTACTGAAACCCTTAAACACAGAAGTTAAATGGAGTCCCAGAGGCCACACAGTTAGTGAAAAGCCAGAACCCTGTCGCAAGCTTGTTTCCTGTCTCCATTAGCTTCTCAAGTCTCCTGCTCTTTCCCTGTGGTCAGCTCCCATTGCCAGAAGACGCATTCTCACTCACCGTGGCACCAGCAAGTGGGTTGGGCAGTTTGTTTATGGAACTCTGGTAATGTGGGAAGTTACTGTTTGTCGTTCCATTAACTTGCTCGGACTCTATTCCCTGAACTCTGCGTGCCCGAACAGAAATGGTGTAGAAAGTGGATTGTCTAGCCCTCAGTGACCCAGACTCTCTACTCAGCCATGTCCAGGGCAAAAGTGTCTGTCAGAACATAGAACGGTTATCCTGTAAGTGCACCCCTTCAGAGGAATTTGGGCGGGACCTGGCCAAATTGTAAATCACAGGATTTAGTTACATCAGGATGGACTTTAAAGTGAGTTAGGCATTTTAATAGAGTGGTAAAATTAGAGATACTTGACCAGTTTTATTAAACTTTGGCTTAGTAAAAGTCCTGCTTCAAACTAAAACACATATGCCTTCTCTTTGTTGACTTTTGTGGTTGTCCCCAAAATGCTGCTTTAATTTAAAGAATATATTCAGATAACTATGCAAGAGTGACCTGTGACACCGATGTGTAAGACAAATCTGTAAGGTTGTTATTTAAGAAAATATTTCTTGTCAAGAAGAAAAATTTCCTAACCTACTTGAACTTATCATTCAAATCCTCCCAAAGGATGTTGATACAGTGTTTGATTTCTTTTTTTCTTTTTTTTTTTATAAGTGTGTTTGATTTCTTATGTTGCAGTGTAATGTCACCTTAAAAAACCCAGAGCTATTAGCAGGGGATAAAGATGATAACTTCGATTTGCTCTCTAAAAAAAAAAATTGTGAGAAAAAAAGTGAAGAAAGCTCAGTGATAATACTTTAAAATTAGGATTTAGGTTAAATATTTACTATTTTCTCTAACGTGACAAAAACATCCTAAGAAAACACATAGACAGGACAGAGAATGCCAATGATCCATGTCAATTAGGTTATTAACTGAGCTACTGAGACCTTTAAAAGCAATTAGTTAATATTCCAGAAAGGGCTCTAATATAAATCTTAAGATGTAAGAATTATTTCTGCAGTGGTACAAAAATATGTCAGGCTCTATATTGGGCTCGTATGTTCAGTTTTATTGTAATAATTCAATAGTTCTATAAAACTATGCCTCAAAAAATATAGTACAACAGTTAATGATATACATACTAACTGAATCGGAATTGGACCAGATCAGGTGAGTGTCTGGATGGGGGATGAGCTACATGGTAAGGTATGTCCATGTCAGGAAGTAGGTCTAAAGTGCATGACTTACTGCTTTCCTGAAGAACTAGGGAAGAATGGCATTAATAAGGACCATTGTATCATCAATTTAAAATGAGTGAGGCGTTATAGTCTTCAGTACCTTAGTTTTCAAAAGCACCATTGGGTGCTCAGGTTACAACTTGAATCAAAGACCACATGTCTGTTCTGTGAGTTGTTCAATGTGACATCATTATTATTGACCCAAATTCATCTTAGAGTCAGTTTGACTTAAATTGTGCTGAACCCAAAATTTCTCCCCAAACTGTAGCATCTGTTCCATGTTTACAAACTGAAATAACTGCGGATGTCAAATGAAAGAAGATTCTATTTCCTTTAGAAAATGAGTCAGTTTTTCTTTTTTTTTAGATGTTTACATCAAAAATCTTTTTAAACCTTTGAAGCTTTCTATTTTCCCAGCACAGTTCAGCTCACGTGCAGTTGTTGCGATTTCTTCCATCCAGTGCCCTGCCAAGCCGTGTTAGATTACCTGAAGACGGTGCTGCAGCATCATAACCAGCTGGCGGTCCCGCAGCCCGCCGACCAGCCGGCCGAGGTAGGTCTCCATGGCAAGGGAGACGGTGCACCGTGTGGCGTGTCTTTAGGTGAAGCATCCGGTACTTCAGCCATCTATACCCCAGGACAGATGGGCTAACAGAAGACACAGTAGACGCTGAGGTTTATGAATGCGTATATATCCTGTGGAGAAAGGTCATGCATCATGAAGTACATTCGCCTGTGTACTCTGAGGGGGAGAAACAGAAGTTTAATTCTGTGGGCAAGTCTCCCGCCATTCTTTTGGCTCAGAGGGACCCGAAATGGGAGAACCCACCTGTCATTTGGAGAAGGAAATGGCAACCCACTCCAGTGTTCTTGCCTAGAGAATCCAGTGGACAGAGGAGCCTGGTGGGCTGCTGACCGTAGGGTCTCACAGAGTCAGACACGACTGAGCAACTTAGCGTGCATGCATGCACTGGAGAGGGAAATGGCAGCCCACTCCAGTGTTCTTGCCTGGAGAATCCCAGGGACGGGGGAGCCTGGTGGGCTGCCGTCTATGGGGTCGCACAGAGTCGGACAGGACTGCAGCGACTTAGCAGCAGCAGCAGCAGCACCTGTCATTCCCTCAGGCAGAGACGGTGTTTGTTCCAAGTCTTCCCACTCTGAAAACCCTCCCCTCTTTGATGCCCCCTTCCTCCCTCAAGGTCATCTTTTCTTTCTCCCTCCACCCCCCACAGCACCCTGCGGCACTTCATCCTCGCGCCGCCGCAGCCTGCTGCTCCTTGGAGGGTGGGTCCAGGGGTCAGTCCCGTTGCCCGTTCCTAAAGGCGCCTGCTGACTGGTAACCTCGGCGATCAAACCCTTGAGGGACGGGCCGGGTCTGTATTCACTTCTCCACTCTTCCGTCCGTGGCCGTCCGTGGGCTCTGCACCCGCCCTGCCCTGTCTGCGGTCCGGCCGCGCCGCCTCTGCTCATCAGACCGCTCCGAGAGAGCCCCCCGCCCAGCGCAGGCTCCTCTCCCAGCTGTCCCGTCCAGGGCCCTTCTCCCAGCCCTCCTCATCCCCAGAGCCTCGCCTCCACTCCCTCCTGCCCCTGCCCTCCGCTCTGGGCCTTTGTGTCAGGACTCTTCTGGCTCCCCATTCCTTCCTTTTTCTCTTTCTCTGTTAGCTTTGACTGGGCCGGTCTTCACTGCTGTGCATGGGCTTTCTCCGGGTGAGGCGAGCAGGGGCGGCTCTTCGTTGGGGCGTGTTGGCTCAATGTGGCGGCTTCTCGTTGCAGCTCCCAGGCTCTAGAGTGTGGGCCCACGGCTTTAGCTGCTCTGCAGTGTGTGGGGTCCTCCCGGGCCGGGGGTCGAACCTGCGTCCCCTGCTCTGGGAGCGCAATCGTTGCCCCTGGACCTCCAGGCGAGTCCCTTGCACCCACCATGGGACAGACACCGTTCCTCACTGGCATCTGCCGCCTCCGTCCCCCAGCCCGACCCTCTGTGCCTTACCTTTGTGGAGGACGCCTTGTTTCAGCTGGGAATCAGCCACGCCGCGGTCCCCGTAGCCTGGCTCCCGGGGTGCTTGCCTGACCTCGTGGTTTCATGTCTTTCACCCTCGCTTTTCTGTTTGCACTGCCACACGTGCCAGTCAGCCCTCTGTCTCGCCGCTCCTGCCGTGACGCAGCAGTCTGGGCCACAGGCCTTAGGAACCTCTGCGCTCCTGCCCATCTTTTCATCACATGTAGGACACAGCCAAGGGTGGCTTATGCTCCCAGACACTCATAGTTTAAACCTAGGATAACTTAGTTCTTCCTCTCAGTTGAAGTAACTTGCTCAAGAAGCACCAAGTAAGATGCAGAACCAAGATTCAGTTCAAACTCAAACTGACTAAATTCAAACCTCAAACTTCGTCCCTCAGTTGCTTCCTATAAAAAGGACACTCAGTCACACTCCTGCGTCACGGGAGTGAAGCTGCGGTGATGAGTTTCTGTGGCTGTAATTCAGTGACAGATTCATAGCTGTGTCTGCTGCCTCTTCCTTTCCTGTCGGCTCCTGTACCGTTTGCCCTTCTCAGACCTTAAGTAAAAAGAGCACTTTTTAAAATTAAAACTCGTGAGACCCAAACAGTGCCAATTTATAACCTACAGTAAACTTTCAAAGTTGTAAAACTGAATGAGTTTCCCTTCTTTATTTTGTACACCTTAATTACTGAGGAAGAAGTACATTAAAACTGAGATCATGGGTTAATTAATTTGTCCTGGACTGTAGAATTTTATGGACAACCAGAAGTAAAATAATGGTTGTGTAGGTGCAATTGACTAAACATGGCTTATAAATGTTACAGAAATTCCTATAATTAGTCCCATTGCAGCTATTTAGCCTGGGAATTTTATAGCAGACATAAATTATAAAGGTGAAAAGTAAGGAAAATTTTGAGTTGATAAAATAGTGGCATTTGCATAAGCTATAATTTGAGGAAACTTGTTTTGCATTATTATTAGTGATTATTTTTTTCTGTTTCCACAATTCCACTTTTTTAAAATTCATTTTTAATATTGTTTCACTGAAATGCAGCAGCTATCAGATATTAAGTACCTTAAACACACGAAAAAAATACTTTATGGAAATAACCCACCAGCGTCATTTCTAAAAGTACTTAACCGCCAACCAAAGGATGAGGAGACCTGTTTGATCACACTCTTCAAAGTCATTTTTGCATATTTTAATAGATTGAAAAGGAAAGTTACAGGTTATATTTAAATAGTGTTTCCTGTCATTGGATCTTGACACGTTTTAACCTACCTGTTAAAATGCAGGCTATAAATAGCTCTTCTTTCAAAGGTGTTCATTAAACCTCATTGGCTCTTGTTATAGAAAATGCAAATGTAATTTGAAAAGTGCCCGTTTTGAGAGTGAGCAATTACTTGTGCTCGTCAGTACCCGGTTCATTGTCAGCATAGCCACTTGGTTAAAAAGCATGTTTCCCTTTGAAATGGAGATCGCCCGGACCGCCGGCTGGCCAGCTCAGTAGGTAATGAGAAAATGTTTCGCTTTTCCAGGGAAGCAAGCAGCTGTTGAACAACTATCCTGTCTACATAACGAGCAAACAGTGGGATGAGGCTGTAAATTCTTCCAAGAAAGATGGGAGGCGGCTCCTTCGATACCTCATCAGATTTGTTTTCACTACCGATGAGCTTAAGTACTCATGCGGCCTTGGAAAAAGGAAAAGGTCAGTGCAGTCAGGAGAGACAGGTCCTGAAAGACGCCCTCTGGATCCAGTTAAAGTAACATGCCTCCGAGGTACTGCATCCTTCCGCTCAGTGTCCATCTGTGATCTCATTTCACCGCATTGGCTGTGGCTCCCCATGCAAGTGTTCAGCCTTGACTGTATTTTGGTTTTTTCCGCTGAGACTTTATAGGCTTCATGTAGCCCATCTCTTTGGTATCGAGAAGTTCTTCAAAAATCCCTTGTTTGCTTTGGCACTTGGTGGCACGTAAGCGCTGCATAGCACCTCATGTTTCACGCTTTAAGTTCAGATTTTCTTTGCTGCCTGGGAAGGCCACCTCCAGGAAAACTGGAACACTGGGCAAAGCACAGAGGGAAAGAAGGGATTTTAAAATTTACCCTGTTTCCATGTGAAGCCTGTGGCGCCCTTCCCCAGTCTAGCTGCCCTTTCGAGAGTACTTGCCCCGCTCCTTAAATTTATTTGGTTAATTTTCCATAGGCCTAAAGTATTTCTTGCCCAGTCAGAGTCTGTTCCAGTTTTTTTTAAGTTTCCATATTTAAAAAATACTGCTCAGATAACACCATTTCATCAGTATTAACAGCTGATTACTCTGAAGCTGATCCACACAGTGGATAGGCCAGGCAGAGGGAGAGGAGGAAGAAGCCAGATGTGTATGATTGATTAGGTGGGTGCAAGTCAACACAGACCAGTGGAAAGATTACGGCTCCAACATGCACTCCACTCGCACCTGAAAACTCCATGTCAAAACATTAACGTGTATATGGTTCAAGAGTAACTTTATTGGTTGGAAAGTCTTAACCTGTATAGTTTGAGTGATTTAATTGGTTGGAAAGACTTAGTAATGATTTACTCCTGATAGGAATCAAAATAGTTCCTGGTGAAGAAGTCACAGTGGAAAAACCTTATCACTGCAAAGGCCTTCACCATCAGAAAGACACTCACTCCCGCACCCCCCTCCTGATGCCCACAGTGACTGAGGTGCATGCACAGTGTTGGTTAGCAGCAGAGATTCCCAGACCCATCCTGAACTTCTGATTCAGCGGGTCCGGGGTGAGGACAGGGGAGGCATGCACTATTGCACCTCGTGGCCACCCCAGGTGATTGATTCAGGCGGCCTGTACTTGACAAAGCCACCTGGAATGAAGGTACCAGTATTACTAATGTAACTTGGCACCGGTGCGCTAGCGCCCCCTGTTGGTCAGTATAAGAGTTCCATTTGGCGTGCCTGGGTGATGGAAATTGCCAGTGTCTGTCTGAGCAAACTAGCCATGGGTTCCTTTATTCCCCAATATCTTCAGAGCAGACAGAGGCACCAGAGTGGTGGTAAGCTTAGCAGGGGTGGGGGGGGGTCTGCTGAGAGCATGCTCGGTTTGTATTCAGGAATTTGCCCTGGGGCTTATGAAGAATCGGGATAAGGGGGCTCACTGTCCCCTTCCATAAATCCTTGTTAAACACTTTACATTTTAATGAGCATGTCTGTGAAACTGAGGGATTAACTTAGATCCCAAAGCGCTAGTGTCGCTGCCCTGGGAATGCCGCCGCGCCCACTGGGACAGCGATGCTGGCCAGGCCGCCCAGTCAGAGCGTGCGCGCTCCAGCACGGGAGAGCTGGGCAGGACGCACAGGCCTCCCCTGCCCTTGGGTGGAGAAGGCATAGGCAGGAGCTGCTGGCGTCTCACGGCAGCTGGTTAGAGCCCGTGTATCTGTCCCAAAGGCTGAAATCTTGGGGCCTGCCTTTGACCTAAACGGGATTCCCTTCCTGAAGGCCTAGGTGTGATGACTCCAGGCTGACGTCCTTATAGTCAGTGAGCATAGGAAGGCCACGGAAGTTGCAGATACTTGGACACTTGAGGGATGGAGAGCGGGGTGCTTCAGGAAGTGAAGTCAAATAGGCTGGCCTGTTCCCAGGGGTGGTTTGACCACAGCAGGAAGAGGGGGTCAGTGGCATGACAATGCTTCCGATCTGTGTGACAGAATGGCCTCTGCTTTGAGCTTGTAACCGTCTGGCACGGTGTTGGGGAAAGTCCTGTCACAGCAGTGGGTGCTGAGGAGAGGCAGTGCAGGTGTCCCAGAGCAGTGCATTCTCAGGGTGGCCCTCAACACTTCGCCTTGATTCTGCTCATGCGCACCTTTCTTTCATTTCTTTATGTTCCTGTGAGAGTGGGCCATCTGGACAGAGGTCGGGAGCCTGCTTAGACAGTTAGGGAATACTTATGAATACTTGAGGTGGGAAACCCTACAGAGGCAGAGAGGAGCAGAAAACAGTCTCTGACTTCCGGAGCCCACAGCCTAGCTGGAGGTGATCCGAGGATGGTCAGAGTTGTAAATAAGTGTGAACACAAGGAAGGTGATAGGGAGAGATCTAGACACGTGAGGCCTCGTGGTCCCACTTGCTTTCTCTCTGTTCAGCATTATAGTGACCGTGACCTGGGTTTGAGGATGTGGGCGTCCTTCGGAGTTGCCTAGGCTTGCACCCCACCATCAGCCATCTGGCTCCTGACAGTTTTGCAGGATGAGATGCTGAATAAACACAGTTCTCATCCCAGGGAAGGCCCCCGGAGCTGGGACTTGGACGAGATGAACAAGTCTCTCACCTCAGGCATGAAATTGAAGGGAATGCCCCTGTTTATCTGCTAAGATAGACACAGTTCAGTTCATGAGATTTTTCTGGTCCACGTTCTTAAAAGCATCAGCTTCTAAGGGCAAATAGAATCAGGGTTCCGTAAATAAATCTCAGACAAATCCAATCCTATGATCAGAACCGTGGTCTTAGAGGGGGAACAGTGCTGGAGGAGAAATGGTGTGTAAACAGCAGTCACCCTGAACTTTCCATCACCCGTGCGAAAAAAAAACACAGTTTGACTTAGGACTTTTTCCAGAATGCTCAACTTCAGTTTCCAGATGCCCATGTTGTTAATGAAATAGCTGTATGGGAACTCTGCATGTCCTTTGACTCTCTGAGAAAACAGGAAAGACTGATTTGAACTCAGTTGGAGGGAGGCTGAGATTGTTGCATTGGAGTCTTAACTACTCTTTATACACTATCTCTTCCTAATTGCTATCTGGTGAAATTAAATATTTAGAGGAAAACTCATCTAAAAAATATTTGTCAGTAGATGTATGAATATCACAATTATAGAAATACAGTCTGTGATAATGTGGAAATCTCTTTTGAACCAAAACTTATGCAGGTTCTTACTGAGAGTTTATTTTCTTGCACTTAATCTACAGATTAGTAGCTAGTTAAAGAATACCATGCTAATGATACTTACTGTGCTTCTGGAAAGAGTTAGCATTCTAAAAGTGTGGGCATGTAACAACAGGGTTTTGAACCTAGCATGGTGTAGACCATGCCTCACAAATCAGATTGACCTTTCATAGCAAACATGTCTTAGAGGGATCACCCACATAATTTTTATTTTTGCACATGAGTAGAAAATGTAGATGGTGTAAGTTTTAAAGTCTAATAAGTGATGTCATCATGGCACTACATCCGATGTCCCGTAAAGCTTTCCTTATAGAGCTGCTGTTAAAAGTTTAAGCATCTTTTCTGCCATCCACTGCAAAAACCAGCTGTTTCTCTCTCTCTCTTTTTTTTCACTGTTGTGTATATTCCCACAGAATTCATTAGGATGCACTGTACCTCCAACCCCGACTGGTGGATGCCCTCAGAGGAGCAGATAAACAAAGTGTTCAGCGATGCTGTGGGTCACGCCCGGCAGGGGCGAGCCGTGGGCACTTTCCTGCACAATGGAGGCTCCTTTTATGAAGGGATCGATCACCAGCCTTCCCAGGATGAAGTCTTCAATAAAAATTCCCAGGATGGATCTGGTGATTAGTGGACAAAATTTTTCCATACGAGCAGCTGGTCCTCTCGAGTTCCAATGGTGAATGTTCTGTTACCATCACTTTAGAATCCAAAGCATGTCACTCTGTCAGACTTTACACATCCTAAATCTTAACTCTCTCGACCTACTGCCAAACAGTTCCCAATACAAGCCCATTTTCGGGTTGTTTGGAAAGTGTATGAAGCCTGCAGAGATTTTCAGAATACTATATTATACAAAAAGAAACCTACACTTGATTTCAGATGATGACTAGTTAGATGGTGAGGGTGGGAAAAAGATAGGTGGATTCTTGGTCACCTGTCTGATACTTTCCGGTGAGCTCTGCTTCATGAGCAGGGCTGGTCCCCGTGGAGATTAGTTTGGTGCTCATGGGAGAAGGTGGAGACACGGCATTGTCCCGAGGGACAAGGAACAGGCATTCTCATTTTAATTCAGATAAGTTGTCTTTATGTTTTCCAAAGACTTGAATTTATACTTCTCAGCAAATACATAGGATAGGTGACATTGTATGTTGTGTCTACATTGACAGAACCTGTTACTCAAACAGAAACCAGAGATCATAGGTCACCTCTAGACAATGATAAGTTGGAAGCTAGCTGTTTCTGTTACTTTTTACCAAAAAATAAAATTTCTACTGTGTTGATAAGGAAGGCACTATATGATCTCTGGAGTTAGTAAAAGTTTTCACTGTGTCAGTCAAGAAACATCCAAAGATCCCAAACCATTTTCAAATGATCGATTTTGTAGGTTCATAGATGCACAATTTCCACAGCCTTAAACCAGGCTCTGTTGACACAATGCCAAAGTGATGGCTGAACACGAGAATCTCGGCCAGCTAGTCGGGTACACTGAGGACCAAGCAAGTGGTGAGGCTGATGGTGTTCCCGGAGTTTGTTCCGGAATCGCGTACACACAGCTTCGAGGCCATTCCGACAACTATGCAACGGGCTTGCCATTTCCCTGAAATCTGAGGGTCTTTTTGTGCTGAGTTGATCTATAGAGTTTGCGTAAATCTTGTTTCTCGTTGTCGCCAATGGAAATGTTTCACCCCGGTTGTTGTACTTGCTTCCTAGAGATGATAGAATCTGTTTCTGCTTCAAGTGTGGGTAGAAGGGGCGGCCTCCTTTATCACCCTAATCCAGATAACTGTGTTCTTTGTAAAGCTTAGGGCTAAATGGGCAGCTTTTATTAAAGGCTGCTGCTGTTTAGGCTTCACTGGGAATGGAGAGGATGACATTAGAGCGTTCGTTTAAAAAAAAAGTCATCGTCTCTTTTGATAGGGAAATTGAGAGATGTTATGTATGTGGCTACTTCACAGCTATAGAGCACGTGGGTGATTTTATATTCTGGATCTTTCATTTAGTCATAAACACTGTGTAGTCTCTTGTCAGTCATTAGCACATCGACCTTCATCAGAATTATAAGGTGACACATTAATATATGACTTGACCCAGCTTCTCCACCTGTCAGATAGCGATAGGACGGTTCAGTCCAGTAAGTTCTTGTAACAGATTTTCTCCCCAAAATCTCGACAACAATACAGACTTGGGAATCTGCAAGTTCATGATGTCTGCATTTTCCTGGCACTTTTAATGGCTTGACCTCCTGATGCGATCAGAAAACAGATGTGAGTATCAAGTAGGAAAGGTGCAGTTTTCAGAAAAAGGAATGAATCTTGCCCTCGTTTGAATTCTGTCATTCAACACATACTCTGGAACCTTACCCTAATGCCACAGACTACCTCCTTAGTTTTTCTTAGATTTCATTCATTTTAAAAAAGTCTCATTCTTGGATAGCTTCATTTTTAGAAAAGATTTAAACTTTGCTCATCAGTGCTATGTCATTTCACCATACAGATGCTTGTAATTTTTGACAGCTCTTCTATACCAGTTTTTAAAAATGTAATAGTGATTTTCAACATATGGTACAAGTCTTGCTGGTGTGTGTTTAATGTGGTGACACTTGCCAAAACTGCTTGGCAAACATGTCAAATAGGATGCTTGAGTCAGAACGCTAGTGTAAATGTCTCTAAACAGCAGTATGTATCATTATGATATATTTTTGTAAACATAGTGATGGCTTCTTTCAGTCATGTAAGTGCTGGATAAAAATAACCACTTCACTTGAACTAATGTAGGAAAATGCCACCCAGTCGAGGGCCCTCTGCAGTTGAATTACCAGCCAGTGGTTAGAAGACAGTGAAGAATTAACGCTGGACAACATGAAGTGCAAAAGTAATAACTCACCAGTACTTGAGTGCTTATTAAAATTCAAAGCTGTAATGAGTATATTTGCCTGTTAGGGACCACGTTTACCGTGCATGGTGTATTCAGTTGCAAAGAACATTCAGAGGACTTCACTCATCTAACCACCAGCTTGGTCAGTATGGCTTACTGATAGCACTAAACTGCCGTACCTTTGTGGTAAAAGTACCAGATGAAATTTCCTCGTGACTGTCCACAACTGGCTAATACAAGCACTAGGCTTTCACTCAGTCACAGTTCCCCAAATTACAGTAAAAAACACATCTGCTGAGATGACTTACTCAAAAGCATGCTCATTGTCAGAACTGCCCCAGTACAAGTAGCCTGATGGGTCTTGCCTGCGTTGGGCAATTATTCAGGCCCGTTCAGAACCACTGGCAATAGCTGTGTGCCAGGTGTTTTGCTAAGCACTTTATGCCTCCTCTCACTTTAATCCTCACAAGCACCCCCTAGGCTGTTATTGTTACCCCGTTTTATTGAGCTTATTACTCAGCTAGCAAGGGGAAATCTTTGGGTTTAGAAAGTGGAATGACTCGTTCCATTTTCTTCAATAGTTCCAGTTTTCTCCAGTTCTCAAAACCCATCAACACTTTGGGATAGATTTGTTTAATCGAAGTACTGACTAAAATGACTTGACAATTCACATTTCCATCATAGGGTTCCCAGTCCAAAAATGCAGGGATATAAAAGCAAAACTTTGAACTCACTGAAGTGTGTTCTTTGGGAACAGATAGATGTTAGACGTGGCACTGGACATGGGTCAGCCAGCATTCATTCACTTTTCGCGTTTGTTGTATTCGTAGCCTTAGATCTGATGAGTCTGGTTTGGAAGAGAGGGTTTTAACCATGATGTCACTGTGAGAATTGTCGTGAAGATTTTGTAGGAGAATACAGTAATCTATTGATATTCTCCTGTAGTTGTGGCTGTTAACACCTCTGGCTGTGTTTTCAAGAGCTTGCCTCGGCCATCAGAGCCTGGCTTAGTGTCTAGGGAACAGGGCATGCCAGGCCACGAGAGGGGTCCTGAGACTTTGGAGGAGGCTGCTCCGGTCCGACCCCGCCCCATTGAAGCATTGCCTGTGTGTGTGTGTGTCCTCTCTGGGACTTCTGTAGCGGCCTGACGCTGGGGCCAACTTGCCTTTCCTCTCTTTTCTACGAAGAACACGTGTGCAGAAACTGTGACAAATTCATTGATCCAGATATTTTTATTGTTGAAGTCTCGTTGATTCTCTATGAATAATTTCTATTTGATTGTACTGTGTAGAGTTAATACCCACTAGAGATATGTTAATAAAACTATAAATGCATAGTGTAATACAGGATAGCAAGATTTTTTGTGAACAATTTATATAGAAGAGTAAGTTGTTTTTTAAGTGTTAGGCACATTTCTTTTAGGAACTTAAAATGTTATAAGAGTTTTTTAAACATTCAATATTTTTAATTATAAGAAACATTTGTTACTAGAGCCAGTTATTCAGGTGTTCTAATTGGAGTATTGATTTTATTACCTCATATACCTCTAGAATGCCACATGTTCTGTTGGAGATAAAATTGCACAATAAATGTTAAGTTTCTGTTAAGTGTTTTAACTTGCTTTTTGCATCTTTCTCCAGTTTATTCAAGACGCTTTTCTGGGTGTGTTTTTCTTTAACAGAACTTTTTTTTTTTTTTTTTTGCCTTGACACTAGGGCTTTTCTGCTTGACTCAGAATGCCAAGAAAATGTTACATGTCTAATACCCATATAAAAGATAGTTATGTCATGGAACTGACCAGAACTCATCCAAAAAATCCATTTGATCTAGTGAATGAAAGGGACAACCAGTGATGAAGTAAAAGTGACATGTGATCCAAAATTTCTGTCCAGCATTTTGTACATTCATACTTTTAACATACATGCTCCTATAGTTCCATCCTTCAAGGAGAGGAGGAATGCTACAGTTTCTCTTTTAACAGTGAACAGATATTGATTGTTTATGAACAGTGACCTCATTACAAAAGCTAAGTGAAAAGGGAAGTCATTCGGTCGTGTCCGACTCTTCACGACCCCGTGGACTCTGACGGGTTCCTCTGTCCATGGGATTCTCCAGACAAGAGTACTGGAGTGGGTTGCCATTGCCTTCTTCAGGGGATCTTCCCAACCTAGGGATTGAACCTGGGTCTCCTACGTTGTAGGCAGATGCTTTACCATCTGAGCTAAAAGCAAAGTAGTGTGGCTAAATAAGGTGGCATGGTGGCTTCCCACTAGTCATTATATAAGATAAATCTGACATATCAAATATTATTGAGCAGTGAGACTGAATGTATCATTCATAAGTTAGACCAAGTAAAAACTAAATACATTTTTTCATTTAGGGAAAATGTTTTATTTTTGCACTACAAGGTAAGTGTCCTAAACAATAGTTTTGGATGCAAAAGAAATTTAGTCCAAATAATTTGTGTTTGAATTGGGATATCAATTAAAATGAAATATAAATTATTTTACTATTCTAAAGTGTTCAAACAGGATTAAGTAACTTGGGTTTTTAATATTTTGTAGCAGGTCACACAGTAAAAGCTACAAATCAAACAAATGTTATGAACAAATTCAGCAAGGTTGCAGGAAACAAGATCAGTATATGAAAGTCAACTCTCTACACACTAGCAACACTCTGAAATTTAAAAAACAATTTTATTTTCAATCAGAAACAAACCCTTAGGAATAAATTTTAAAAACTAAGTGCCAGACT